TGTTTTGGAGTGCTTTTTCCTACAGTCCTCTATAGGAAACAGGGAAAGGGAGCAGGTGGACGAAAGGCAGACAGCCCGCCCTCCTCGCTCACTCCCACCCTCTGCCACCCCCCAGTCCCTCTCCACACCGGAAGTGCAAGCCCAGCTCTGTTAGGATCTCCATCTGAAGAGACAGGAACTCCTCCAGTAGCTGTGAGCTCTGCTCCAACCCGGGGCCTGTCACCCCAAACATCTCCACCTAGGGCAAGGCAATGGCAGGCACAGGAGTCAGGAGGCTGGGAACTGTCGGGGTGATCCCTGCCTGTCCCGGCTACACCAACCTTGGTGAAGTGGTGGACTCGATACAGCCCCCGAGGCTCCTTCCCTGTGTCTGTCTCTGCCCGGTAGCAGGTGCTGGCACAAACCATCCTGGCAGAAGCAGGTGGGGTTGGGTCAGGCAGGGCAGAATGAGTGTCAGGGGTGGGGATGAGATCTAAAGGAACTGGATGTCACCTCACAGGCAGATCCTTGAAGGCCACGGTGTGGTCCATGAAGTAGCCTGGGAGATGGGGGTGACTGAGTCAGCCAGGGCTGCTATCGCCCATCGGACGCCGTTGTGAGAATCCCTTGGGAAATGCAACCCTGTGTCAGACCACGTGGCTGGAGTGTCACTGGGCTGCTGAGCAGTCAGCATCCACATCAGCTGCGGGGTCATGGCTCTCCTGGGCAGGTGGCAGCAGCCTCCCCAGTGCTCCTGACTGCCCTCCCTGCAATCTCACCTGCTCTGAGGACATGGGAGGTGTCCCCACCCACCGCCACCCTGGTAGGTGCTCACCTGCAAGCCCGACCTCCGCTGTCCCGGCCAGGTTGAGGTCCTTGAAGCGGGAGGGGTCGATGTTGTAAATTTGGGACGGATTGGCATTTGGTGTCATCCCACAGCCTTCCTGGGGGAGCAGGGCAGGCCTCAGGGGTCAGGGGACAGGTAACCTCACCTCCCCCACCTGGTAGTCACAGCCCCAGATCCCCCCCTGGAACCATCTGGAATTGCGCTAGCCTCCTATGGTGGCCTGATGCTCTCAAGCCAGTCTCCCCAAGGGAGGCCAGCAGGTCTTCCTGCCTCAGGCCCCCAGAACAGGGCTTTGCAGCCAGCTGGGCGGGGAGGGGCCTCACTCACAAACACAGCACCTCGGAGAAGGTCTGGCACCGTCATGGGGGTGAAGCCCTGTGGGGGGAGAGGATGGCTGAGGAGGACGGCTGGGACCCCTACCCCAGCCCAAGCTCAGGCCTGAAGAAGGGACACTGCAGTGAGCCTGTGGCTCCCAAAGTCCACCTCTGAGGAAACTGACGAGGGTCTGTGCAGTGGACTTAGAGCCGGCCCCAGGGCCCCGGTGTCCCCATTACTGGGGCCCTTTCTGTGGCATGCTCCATGCTTTCCTCGGCTCCGATTCCTTCCTTCAGTTCATCCCACAGAGAGCTGGAGGTGAGGTTCAGATGTACCGAGCTGAACACAACCCCCCACCCCCGGCCTAAAGCCCTCCATGGCTCCCTGGTGCGTCAGGAAATGCCTGAGTCCCTCGCTATGGCCAAGGCCCCAGCAATCCCAGCTACACCCTCCAGTTTCAAAGGCTGCCCTGTTGCCCGAACGCTTCCTTCGTACTGCAGCAGGCAGTGAGGTGCAGTGCTCACGTGCAGACTCTAGGGCCGGCTCCGTGCGCTAGCTGAGACCTGGGGCTCGTCATGGCCTCTCTCCAGGCCTCAACTTCGCACGTCTACAGTGGGGATAACAACTCCCACCTCATAAAGTCGTCCTAACTAAATGTGTCAATAATGAATGTAAAGCTCTGACAACAGGTCACTCCTAGGACCCCTTCCCTGAGTCCTCTGAGTTCAGCTTCAATGCCACCCCCTCCAGGTAGCCCTCCCATCCTAGTCCATACCCGGCGGACGAGCTTGTTGAGTGTGAAGTTGACCAGGCCATGCTGTAGGAGGGCCCCAGCCCCTCGCAGGTAATAGGAGCGGTGGCCAGACACGTGGGACAGGCGCCTGGGAAACAGAACAACTCCCACCTCATAAAGTCGTCCTAACTAAATGTGTCAATAATGAATGTAAAGCTCTGACAACAGTGACTGGAATAGGTCACTCCTAGGACCCCTTCCCTGAGTCCTCTGAGTTCAGCTTCAATGCCACCCCCTCCAGGTAGCCCTCCCATCCTAGTCCATACCCGGCGGACGAGCTTGTTGAGTGTGAAGTTGACCAGGCCATGCTGTAGGAGGGCCCCAGCCCCTCGCAGGTAATAGGAGCGGTGGCCAGACACGTGGGACAGGCGCCTGGGAAACAGACGCACAGACAGGAGGGTGCGTGTGGGCCAAAGCCGGGGTGGGAGGAGGGGAATCGAGCACCTGGGGGCAGAGGCCCAGCTGCCAGGCAGGCCAGGGCATCAAACATTCATGCTGGGCGTGGCCCTGGCATTTCCACATCCCATGCTGGGGCCCACCAGGCAGGAACCGGCTGCCAGCTGTTGGGGTGGGGATGGCCGGCGGCGAGGGACAGGGGAGGGAGAGGGGCTCACTTTTGCCGGATGATGTCGAGCTTCTCGCCGATGTCCAGGTGGCCCCGGGGTTGGAAGGAGAAAGCTGCACGTGGGTGAAAAGCAATGGGTGAGAAGGGGAGAGACAGCGACCAGAGATGAGGAGGAGGATTCGAGAGATGGCAGGAAGGAGAAACGGACAGACAGAGGAAGGGAAAGAAATGAGAGAAAGGGAGAGAAAAGGGGCCAAAGACAGGGAAGGAGGGAGGGCAAAGGGAGTGAGGAAGGAAGAGAGAGAGACCAGAGACAGAGAGACAAAAGCGGAGAGAGTAAGGCAGAGACGGGAGTGGGAAAGGAGAGAGAAATAGGGAGAGGAGGGAAGGCAGGGAGAGAAAAGGAGAGGGAGGTTGAGAAGGACGGAAGCACTACACGGGAGAACGAGAACCGGACAGAGAGGGAGGGAGACAACACCTGAGAGGGACCGAAGCCAGGATGTCTCTCTCTCAGAGACAGAGACGCACACAGCAGAACGAACCCACTGAGGTGAGCAGAGGACGAAACCTGCAAAGGGCCCCTCAGAGGCCCATCGGGCCCTGCTAGGGCAGAAAGGCAGAGCACCCCCACTGCAGGGTAGGGGTTCTGCAGGCTGCAGCCAGCCCCAAACCCCAGGAGCCGCCATCCCACCAGCCCCAGCCTGGATCCCGGGGCCTGTCGGCTTCCTCCCAGCTACGGGACCTACCTGGCTTGTCTCCGACCACGTGGAGCACCCGGGCCTGGCTCTCGTCTCCGACGGGCTGCAGGGGAGACAGGGCATCATGAGAAGGGAAGCAGGAGGTGCGGGCCCCCGAATACCCGCCCCTCCAGGCACGCACCACGTCTGGGTGGGTCCGGTTGGGCAGCCGCAGCGCCTGCAGGTAGAATCGCTCCTCAAGCTGGACTTCCGTGGGGTACAAGAGCGTGAGCTGCTTCCGGATCTCCCGGCCACGGGCCCGCAGACCCTGATACTGGGGGTCCTGGGAGCAGGACAAGAGGGGTCAGCCAGGGGCTGACCTCATCTTCACCAGTAGAAGCTCTGTGGGGGGCATTCACCGCCTTCTGTTGGGCCCAGCATCCTGAATCTCCTTTCGAGAACTCCCTCACCACCACGTGGCAGGTTCCCGGGACGAGACTCAGGCCTGGCCAATTGGAACGTTCCATTGCCTCGACCGCAGTGACGAGCTCAGAGGCAGGCACGTGACCCAAGCTGAAGGCAAGCAGGTCAGCCCCTGGACTTTGCTGGAGCTAGCAGGAAAGCATGCCCAACCCTGCCTCCCCCCGCTGCAGATGGAGAACGCTGGTCTGGGAATGAGGGGGAAGCTGAATCAAATACGGTGTCAGGACCTGGATCCAGCTGCACCTGAAGCTGGCACTTTAGTTTCATGAATCAATAAAGAGTCTGAGTTTTCCCCCCTCAAATCTGTTTGAGCTGTGTTTTCTATCATGTACAATAGAGGAATCAGGACTGATAGGGGATCCTCCCTGCCACACCCCCAAGGGGGACCCCACCAACCCTCTAGTACCTGCTGTACCTGACTGCTGTCCTGGGCTACCTGGTGGAAGAGATGGGAGGTGATTAGACTGATGAAGCTGGGGGTGGGGAGGAGAACAAGAAGGAGCGGAAAGTCAAGCGAGGCCAGGGGACCGGAATCTTCCGCTCTGTCGGTGCCTGGCTGGGTCCCTTCCCAAGTCCGTGCCTCAGTTTCTCTCTCAGGAAAGCTAGGAGGCAGTAAGAGAGCATAAAAGTCATCACAGCTGGGCCAGCAGAGATAGGGTGGAGGTCAAGATGGCAGAGCCCACATGGAACCAGTGGCTTGAAAATCACGCTGGGCATGTGAGCACGTGTGCCCCAAATCCTGAGAAGAGAATGGAGAAGGGATTGCATGGTGGGCCATCCCCCCGGAGGGTGAGAAATCACCCTCCCGCTCTGTCTCTCTCTGGTGAGCGCATGCACTCAGCAGCAAAGCCAACGAGCAACTAACGGCTGCAGCTCCATTCAGCAGCTGCTCCCCACCAGGCTCTGTGCAGAGGGCTCTTACACCATCTCGTTTCTCCATCACCCACCGTATGAGGCCGGCATTAACCTGGCTGTAGAGGAGAAAACAGAGGCCTGGAAGGAAAGCCTGGGGGCGTGTATTTGGACACCTGCAGACAAGGGCCCTGGACGCACTGAACCATTTATGATCCTGAGCAGCTGAGGGCGTTGAGCAGGCTCAGTTCTGAATGTGGGGTGCCTCCCTGCTGTGTATCCTTGGGCAGATCTCTGCCCCTCTCTGAGCACAGTATTCCCATCTGTGGAATGGGGACGATAGAAAGACTTCCCTGGCAAGGCTGCTGTGTGGCTTCCCTGAGAAGATGAGTTAATGCTCGCTGAACATTAACCGATTGTTTTTTCGTTTAGGTTTTTGGCATAGGGCATGTACCCTTGCCAGAGAGACAGTGAGAGAGAAAGTGAGAAATCATCGCCCCTTCCCCCCCCCCCAAGGGGATGGCCATACTGCAATACCTTTTCTATTCTTCTCCTGGGACTCTGGGCATGCATGCACAGGTGACTGCGTGAGTTTCAAGCCACTGGGTTTGGGACTCGAACCACGGTTGCCATGTGGGAGTCCAGTGCCTTAACTGCTATGCCACCTGCTAGTCCCTTGATTTATTTTTTTATTGTCAGAGGCACATGTGCTTGCCAGAGAATAAGAAAAAGAGACAGAGGGGACCAGCAGTTAGCATAATAGCTATGTCACTGAACTCTCACGTAGTCAACCGTGGTTTGCATCCGGGACACGGTAGCTTAAACTCGTGCCGGGCGCGTGTGCGTGCGTGCCTGAGATCCTGAGAGGAGAATGGAGGAGAAGGGATTGTGGCGTGGTCATCCCCCATGGAGGGTGATTTCTCGCTTTCTATCTCTCTGTCTGTCTCTGTCTTTCTAGGGAGTGCATGTGCCCTATAGCAAAAACCTCTCAAAAAAGAAAAAAAGAAAAAAGAAAAGAAAAGAAAAAAGAAAAGAAAAGAAAAAGAAAAAGAAAAAGAGACAGAAGCACCTCCCCATAGGGTGTGGTCACACTGCAATCCATCCTCCTCCATTTCTCCACCTGCCAGGACCCTGGCATGTTTTTCCAGCCTCTAGGTCTGGGACTTGAATCTAGTTAGGATCCCCAAGTGGGCTCCAGCTCCCTAAATCACTACACCATAGGACTGACCCAGTGTTGCTTCTATTGGCTTCGCAGCTGTGATGCACGTAGCCAGGCCTGGCACACAGCAGATGGCTGGCAAACGTAATTAATGGATGGGGGACTCGGAGCAGAGAAAGAAAGCAGAGCAAGAGCCTGGGTGCCAATCTGCCTCTCCCACTCCCTGGCTGTGAGACTTAGACACGTTATAGCCTCTTGGGGGCTCCCTTTCTCCAGCTGTAAAACTGTGTTTGTGGAGACCAGCAGATGGAGTAATGGTTACATTGCCGGACTCCGACACTGCCCACTGCAGTTTGAGTCCCAGACCTGGCAGCTTGAAATTCACACTGGGTGCATGTGTCTATGTGCCCAAAATCCTGAGAGGAGGATGGAGAAGAAGAGATTGCAGCGTGGTCATCACTAGTGGGGGCGGGGAGGGGGTGTTCTTGCTGTCTCTCTCTCTCTCTCTCCAACGAACATATGTGCCTTACAGCAAAAATCTAAAACAAAAGAAACCAAAAATTTTAAAAAATGAGTTTGTGTTGCTCCTGTCTCTCAAAGTTGTTGTGAGGATTAAGAGTATGAGCAGTTGGGGCCAGCCAGTAGCATGGCGGTTAAGGTACTGGACTCCTATGTGGCCAACCACAGTTCAAGTCCCGGACCTGGTGTTTGCTTTCTCACTTTCCCTTTCTTTCTCTGTCTTCCTCTAGTCAAATTATTATTTTTTTAATTTATTTTTTAGTGAAAGGAAAATATAATTTTTTTTTAATTTTTTTTTTTTTGAGAGATTTTCACTGTAGGGCGCGTGCGCTCGCCAGACAGACAGAGA